AGCACAGGTGATGGAGAATAAACCAGACGCTCTCTCAGCCTATGACGGTTATCAGCTCTATCAGCATATAATTACCATGCTGTAGAATTAAGGCAAGGTAGGGTCAGGAATGGGCCTACATGAGGAGATGAATTAAATCAGCCTGCCTCCAGGATGCTAGCAGTCTAATGACACCTATTTTGAGAATTACTGCCATGTTCTGAATAATAACTGCATACCTGTTCCAGGCATCAATCTATGTTTATTACATGCTAAGTTTGAATCCTCAAAGCGCCCCTGTGATGAAGGTTATATAATCTAATTTTCACATGAGGAAACTAAAGGCATCTAGTGGGGCACTTGGTACAAGGAGCAGAGAGGTGGCCATGCTCACTGGCCAGCCGAGTGGGGATTGTTAGATTACACATCCTCAGCTAACAGTTAAAAAAAAAAAACCCTGGTGGAAATGTTTCTGCAAAATGTCTTCTCTGCCACCATCCCACACAGAACCTCACCCTCCTTGGCTGCTCACCCCCAGCCCACTCCTCCCTTCTCAGGCACAATAACTTCCCTCTTTACGAAGCTTTGAGTCCAGACAGTATTCCTCACTCAAGCACACTCAACATTCTTTCCCAAAAAGGAAAGCCTAGAAATTCCCCTATCAGCTGCTAAGAGACAACACAGCTGTCCACCTCCTTCCCTACCAGAGATATGTATCCAAGGTGACAGTAAAAACAATCCTAAGTCCATTTCGTAAGGAACAGATCCCCTACCACGCTGACGTGCCCTGTAGGGACCCTGCATGTGCTGAGACGTTGAGCCCTCTGTTCTCAGGTGGCCAGTGGCCCTGGGACAGTTGGTATTTTCTTCAGTGAGCCATGTTTTCTGTGTGTGCTACAACGTTAAAAAAATAAAAAAGGACTGGTAGGGGGATTGGGGGTATGCTCAGTGGTAGAGTGCGTGCTTAGTACACTCAAGGTCCTGAGTTCAATCCCTAGTACCTTGGTCAAAATAAATAAACTTAATTACCCCTCCCTCACCAAAAAAAAGACAGAACAAAAATTAAAAAAAATTTTTTTTAAACAGGAGGAAGCTGTAGCTCAGTGGTAGACCACATGCTCAGCATACGCCAGGCCCTGGGTTCAATCCTCAGTGCCTCCATTAAATAAAGAAAGAAAGAAACCTAATAGTCTCCTCCTCCAGAAAAAAAGATGGGAGTCTTTTCTATAAGTCATGTCATCCCATAAAACATCTGGGGCTTGGTGGTGATAAGTGCGAGAACTCACCTTGAGAGACAGTTAGAAGGTAAATGGGAGGATGAGAAGTAGGTGGGAGGGCTGACCAGGGCCAGAGATGTAACTGATGGCCTTGGAAGAATGAAACCCACTGCTCCATCTAGCCACCCACCCTTTGAACTCCTTAGCAAGTCCCTGTTGGCAGCTCTTCTCACGGCCACAAACGTAAACTTGGACTTGCTGAGGTCAAGACATTCGAGATGCAAGGCTGGCTTATCCCTTTGAACTTTATTCTTACCACAGCCATTTAATTATTTTGTGATTTCTCATAATTCACTGAGAAAAATATCATGACCATTTAATTATTTTGTGAGTTCTTATAATTCCCTCAGAAAAAGGCTGGCTTCAGAAGTACAATATCTAACACTTTTTCAGGTTACATTTTTTTTTTATGAACTGTGAGAAACTTACAGTGCCTTAAAGAAACTGCATTAAGAAGGTGTCAGCATTTTCAATATAAACTCTATTTCCAAAGGTTTATGCATTCGGGAGAAACTTGCTTGAGGGCGAAACTTGGCATATGGTGCCTGAGCTCTGACTGTCCACACCTCATTTCATAGGAACTTACAGATGAGTCCTGCATATTCACTACGTTTGGCATCTGTAGTTTTTAGAAATAAAAAGATGGCTTTCCTAGCAGGTGATTTCTGAGTTTTATGTCAGTGCACACAATTCTTAGAAAATCAGAGAACTCAGGAAAACCAGAAGCCCTGTTCTGTAGATTCTAGTCTGACAATGTTGCAAAAGGAAAGGAAAATAATCTAAAGGGGCAGATACCAACAGCCGTAGGTGTCCTCACAAGGGCAGCGGAGTTGGACTTCCTTCATCATTCTTCCTATCCCAGACTCCTCCTCGCCCTATCTCCTGCCTAGTGTTACAGATCAGGCCAACAGACACAGGCTTTGTGTCGGGCCCTTCCCCGGAAAATCACTGCAAATGTTGCCAGCTTTACTTTTTGAGTCTCCATTTGGGGGGACTGGAGTAAGTGCTCTCTAAACCATAAATTACTTGCATGGGTGACAGTTCTTAGACAAACCCAAAAAAATATTGTCCTTGGAGGCAATGCCTATCACCAAACCAAGAGAGGTGAGATAAACAGCAGAAGAACCCTGGCATGGAAGTCTACAGATGCAATCCAAGGGGGCGGAGGAAGAGTTACTAGGCAACCGTGGTTCTCGGGAACCATGTAGATGCCAAGAATGTCAACAGCAGACTCCAAACTCAGGCTGGGAGGCACGGAACCAGCGAGAATTCGGGGCCGCACCAATGCCAGAGGAGAATCAGTGGAGCTTGGTGGCTAAGAGCATGGTCTTTGTAGTTGTGCAAGGCTGGATTCAAGTCTAAACTCTTTATTTACAGCAGATGGCCTTGGGCAAGTTCCGGAACCTTGTTGAGCCCTGACTTCTCATTTATAAGTGGTGGTAATGGTTCTTACCTTATAAGGATGTGAAGATAAAGAGATGACAAAGAAAGCAGTGAACTCCTAGTAGCTGTAAAAGCAGCCAAACTTGATGATCCATCTTCACAAAAAGAAGATGCATCCTGAAGGCATCCTGAAGATGCTGGGAGTAAATTATTATGGCAGGCAGCCTGGGGCACGTAGGGGCTGACACATCTCAGCTGTTACATCCCAAGAATCTTTGATCCCCGTCCCTGAACACTGGATCGATTCTGATCCACTTACTCCTGTGTGAGGCTGAAATGATTCAGACATTTGGAACAGCCCCAAGTACAACACATGGATGTGCTGAATATGAGGAGGGTCGTGTATCTAGGCTAACGTGAAGAAAGGACACCTAGTTCTGAATAATAGGATCTTTCTTTTCTGGCAGTGCCTTCCCATGCGAGCAGCTGATCATTTCTCCAAAAGGCCATTTTGTAGCAATTGAGTCGGCTTAATTGAGGAGAAAATGAATAGAGAAGATAATGAATAACCTGGAAAGCTGGTTGAGAGTAAAGCCAACCAAGTGGAGGCCCTGAAATGAATGGGACTAAAACTTAGCCCTTGTGGTCCTGGGGAAAACTCAGACTACAGCCATATGCTCAGGGCTCCTGCAGCCCGTGACCAGTCTCTGAGATGGCTAAGCAGCACCATACTGGAGGAGGAGTATCTGCATCTTCCTACTAAATATCCCTCTGGAGACTGAATCCTCTCTTTTGATAGGGATTTCATCTTCCTAGTGCTTCTAAGACCAAGCACCAAGCCTGCTAGAACCTATAAAAGCCAGCACTGTAGCCATCCCACCCCTCTGTTTCCACCATAGTATTAGGAACTTCCCAGAATTCTACTGCTCACTCAGAGCCAAGAGGTTTCAAGGAGGAAGGTGGGGAAATGGGCAGATTCTGAAGTTCAGGTACCAACTGCTGAGCATCAAGTGCAACTGTGTGAGAAAGTTACTTAAGGATAAACAATTTACATATCAGATATCTACTGGTATCTAATAAATATACCTCGTGTTTTGTAGATGTCATCATTCACTATGTCCTTCATTCAGCTCTCCTACAGCGTGCTAGGTGTCATTCTAAATTTCGGAGATTCCACAGTGAATGTATTTTTATTCTCACAACAACCCTGTAAGGAACCTGTGACCCCAAAGGGTTAAGGATCTTGTGCAGGGGTTCACACAGTTATTAGCAGAGACCAAGCTCCAAGCCACTGTTCCACAAAGCACCACCGAAATGTTAGCTGTCTGGCCTCTTGATGGAAAGATCATATTCTGGTATATTCTCCTCTGTGCCTAACATGGTGCTAAGGTGTGCCTCTTCCCCAGTCAGACTGGTAAGATGCTAATATAAACTTTACTAAGGATGTTTCATTCTGAGATTATCATGTGAATAGGAGACTCTTGGGGTGACAGGCAGATCTTGGCACCTGTCTCATGGCTTAGGTAAACTATGTCACATTTCATAAATTAACTACGTGATCATTTTTTTCAGATATTTTGCCTGGCTAGAAAATGTTTTGAAGGTGAGACAAAATTAGCAGAGTATGTCACATATGGTGAAATCAGTTTGATTTGTTTTAGGGTATAGTGGGATCCCTGGGAATGACAAGAAATCCAAAGGGTACTTATGAGTTCTGTCATTGCATAAAGGCAGACAGAAAGACAGAAAGTGGTCCTATGGTATTCTCAGTAAGACCTCAGATGGCAGTTAAGTCAAGTGAAGCCCACATGATAAGTGATGTTCCCTCGGGTAAGGTACCTTTTGGATGACCCTTAGAGCATGTGAATTACTTGTCCTCACAGTCAGATTGAGAGGCCAGAGACTTAGTTCACTGCTGAATGGATGCTAATTCATGCAAGAGATGCAGAACTGCCTGTGTTAGGACATCATTTCAATTTGTTATGTGTGCTCATTACTCTTCTCATTTCAGTTAGTAAGTTTCACCTAAATGGTTGAAGTCGTATGATTCCAAGCTGACATAAGGTGACCAAAAGTAATGTTTGGTCTCTAGAGTTCTTTTTCTGTTATAACTTGAGAGAACCATGCAGGTTCTCTTACTGCCAGGAACAGCTGGCCTTCTTACTTCATATTACATGAAGGGAGTATTTTCATGTTTAGCTAAATGTCTGCTTCATGCCGCTCGCTGGAAACTTACTACACCATTAACAGTATTTCTTCCCTCTAGAGATGCCCTTTCCTCTAGACCAGATCCGAACGTCCATGATCCTTTTCTCCTTTTATGTGAGCCATCTCTAATCCTCACTCTGTTACTCCGTCTAGAAACGAACTGCCAGATGAGGACACTGGACAGTGGGATTGGAACCTTCCCACTCCCAGATTCGGGAAGTCGCTCAGCAGGACGGTACTTATGCCAGCCAGACTCCCCAGAGGACCCTGAGCTGCTCCTGTCTCTCCAGCCCACCCTTTGTACAGCTTCTGCCATACGAGCCCAGACGCTTGAACGAGAAGTGCCATCCTCTGCAGACAGCCGGGGCTCTGCAGACAGCGCCATTGTTCATTCCACCTCTGACCCCATCATGACTGCCAGAGGGATGCGACCTCTTCAGAGTCTCCTCCCCAAACCAGCCTCCTCAGGTAAAATGCCTGTTACCTTCCAGATTAAATTGTTTTCCCACCAAAATAATGCACTTGCTGACAGAAATGGAAAACAAGCAGCAGAAAAGGTCTCCACCAGGAGGTCAGTCAGTGACCTCTGCCCAAAGGAAATGTGGGCACATGAAGTCTCTCTATGTCATCGACCAAAAAGTAAAAAGACAGGTTATCAGATGTTATCTGCTCTTAGTATTATTTACAGAGCGTACAGATACATAGAGGAAACCAACGTGTGAGCATAGGTATATGGATATAGACATTGATAAAGAAAAAAGAACATACAACATGCACTTCAGAGTTTATCCTTTAAAACTTAACTCTGCATATAGACCAATTTAGGCCCCAGACATAAATTTAGCTGAAAAATCGTCTGCCCTCTAACTAGAAACGTATGTCTTCTGACATATTCCTATCCTGTTCAAATGTGTTTATATGTTGAGCTGTAAAAAAAATATAGTTTGATATATTAGCAGTAGATTGTGGATTAACTGCAGTGGAAGGAGGCAGCCTTTCCCCTGAGAAGCACCGTCTTTCGCTGCAGTCAATGGAAGCAAGCTTCCATGATTAAGGATCGGACCAGGCTAAGGGTCAAAGTTTTTTCATTGTTCCCTCAAGATAAAGAATATTTATTGCAGCTCAGGAAGACACTAAATAATCTTTAACTGGTATGACTCATGTGGCATTTATGATGTGCATGAGCATATGCACTAGAATTCTGGAGGCTTTCATTTAAGATTTGATGGCGAGAAAGGAGCCACAAGTAGAGATCATACCATCGGCTTCTGAGAAATTAGGAAAGAAGACTTTTAATTAAACTTCTTTGAATCAATGTGATTGGGCTATTTCCATGGCTGAGTTCTCCCTCCATACAGGACTCCTAAGTGCCACGAATGTTTAATCACAAACTTCTGCTCATTTCAAGTCAAGGCGACATTTTAAAAGGCTGTAATGCATATTATTTTTGAAATAAATGCATTGTTAATTAATGACACAGCATCCAGAGAGTCAGGGGCGAAATCGTAGTTATAGATTATGTGCTCCATGCCTGGGTAGTCGCGTGTGTGACCTCAATTCGGCAGCAGGCCGCCGAGCAGACTCCATGATTAAACACTGTCATTATAACAAATTGAATAGAAACCGCAAGCCTTGAATTGCTTCATAAGAAGGAGATAGGGAGGAGAGTGTTCTGATCTTGCTGCTAATATTCACTGCACTGGTTTTCTCAGGTTTGTGTCTTAATTAAATGGTCAGGAAGAGTTGGGGAAAAAAGGAGTATATGGTATAGGGCGAGGTCAACACACTGCGGGACATTTTTGTGCCATGCAGCCTGAAGCTTCCTGTCCACCTCAAGATATTGTCACTGTGTCCGAGGCAGGGCTGGCTTGCCAAGGCTTCTCTCTTCTCTGTGGCTCTAAAAATTAAGGAATGGAGAACGAGCTGAAACAAAGGAAAGTAGTTTAGAGCAGTCACTTCCTGTTTAATATATGGGTTTACATTGGTTTTTCTCTTATCCCTGCATCAAAAATGGAAATAACTGTACAAGTCTCCCCATGCTGGTGGAAATACAATTACTTGGCTTCTGCTCACAGGCAAAATGCTGTGGAGAGGCTCTCACAGCATGTCTTGTTGATAATCACTGAGGCTGGAGGGTAATAACAGCAATTCTCCTTTCTGGCATGAGGAAGGAGTCCACTCCACGGGGTAATCTACTGTTAACGGATAACGGAGGAGCTTTCTTTAATCAGTCTCTTCTAATTGCAGCCTTGCATTTACAGTGTAACCCATGGGCCAGCAGCAGAACCTGGGAGCTTGTCAAAAATACTGCATCTCAGACCCCACTGCTGATCTCCTGAGTCAGAACCTGCAGTTTAACAAAAGCTCAGCCGATGCGTGTGCACATCAGAGCCTGAGAACTAGAACTGCCCTGCGAGATCTTTAAGAGTCTGAGCGAGTTTCCCAAACCACCTTATTCAAAATGACCTTCATAAGTATTCGAGGAAAATCAGGGTTCCCTGCTTAAACATATTTGGGAAAGGCTGCAAACTCACATCTTCCCTTTGGAAATAATGACCATTCCTATTAACACAGTGAAGGCTCTGAGAAGTCCTCCGAAAAGGAAACCCAGTTGTTACTTGATGCATGACACTGCCCGTGGAATAATCGGAGTGTCCCAAGCAGTTTGCCTGCTGAGCCTTTTTCTAACACGAAAAGCTCATTAACATTTGGTGGAAAAGTGGTCCAAGGACAGTTTGCCTTTGGGTCTCCCAAAGTGGACACCCTCGAAAGAGATACCTAATTCAGCAGACGTTTCTGTTAGCACAGAATTGCAGGGGACAGAAATGTTGGGAACCTGAGTTTTCACTGTGTTTGGACCTTTTTTTTTTTTCAATTTCTGAATATCTCCCCCACCCCCCTCCCTAAACTTGTAAGGAGTTGAAGAAAGCTGATTGTATTTCATATATGTTTCCTCATTTAGGAAAAATCAATTCCCAAATGCAGAATGAAGCCGAGCCGAGGCCTCAGACTTGTTCGTCCTTCGACTACCCTGAAAACACCATGGCCAGCGAGCCACTTCCAGCCTGGGGGGGCGACAGCACGGCTGCCCAGACCCAGGTAAGGGAGGCCGACAGGAGGGCACCCTCTGCCCGCTGGTCTGAGTGGGAAAAGTGGCCTCCTTATACACTTCCGTGGTAGGTTTAATTTAAGTCAACTCTGTTGTGGGTTCAGCAAATAAAACCAAAGCCCCAGGCTCTCCTTTTTCCCCTGAATTATTAAGTAACACGGTGGGCTCTTGGGAGGAATTCAGATGCTTCTACTTATCCGCACCCAGCCTCTTGAGGTAAGGATGCTCCGCCCTATTTAGAGGTTGTGGAATGGTCATTCCCTCTCCCAAGCCATAAGAGCACCACTTAGAATGATTTAATGATATTTATCGTTGTCTCATCAGTTATTTTAACTCTTACCTTGCTCCTATGAGGCAGGAAAAGCACTATAATTGTATTCCCTTTAAGGATGAAGAAACTGAGGTCTGGAGTGGTCAAATGACTTGCCAGGGTCAGTGAGGCCTGTGTTTCTTCCATCCCCATCATTTTTGCTGGGGGTTCTCCATCCACCCTGAGATGGCCCACAAGGCCTGCTGATGTGTGATTGGACCTAGGGTGGAACTCAGGGCTCAGCACTTTTTGGTCATCCCTCGGTATTCCCTCCTAAGCTCCCTCCCGCTTACCTCTGCCAGCTAATTACTTGGGCCATATTCAGCCTGGTCACGATTTCTCAACTTGCCCTGGCTGGCCCGCTTCCAGGTCCTCGGTGGTGTCCACAGTGAGAAGAGTGGGAGGAAGGACACAAGGATAATTACCAGGGCTTCCCTGCCCCTCCTAGACCCTTCCTTCGTCTGCTGCCTTGGCTCTCCCTTTCCCGGCAGTAGGAGGCCCTACCACTATTTCTACTAGAGTTCCTACCCAACTTTGATGAGGAAATACCCAGATGAGCCCACACTCAGGTCCCCCACAGCCAGTGTGGCCAAGCCTTCTTTCATCCTTTAACTCCTCGGTATGGATATGGGGCCCTGGACAAGTAACGGAAGAGATCCCTAGGCCCAGAGCCTCGATTTACAGCAGAGGACACCATCTCCAGAGATGCTAGACCGTGTTCAGGGTCCAAGGGAAAGTTACTGTGGCGCTGAGATTAGAACTCAGCCCTTTGAATTCCATGGCCAGCACTTGGAACAGGGGTCTGGAAGGCAAAGGAGAAATGAGTGTATCCTATCATGCCTTAAGTCGGCACAGAAATGTTAGGACCCCTGCAGAGCAGTAGTTCCCACTCTTGAGCAGGCATCAGAATCACCTAGAGGGCTGCACGTCTTGCTGACCCCCACATACTCCCAGTGTCTAATTTGGTAGAGATGGGGTGAGATCCAGACCCTTCTAATAAATTCCCAGATGATGTTGATGCTACTGGTGCAAGGAACACACTTGGGGAAGCTCTGCTTCAAGAACTCTGTGCTTGTTTTGGGGACTGAAAAGCTGAGAAAGCCCAGAGTTGGAGGGGAAATCATTCAGAAATGACAGGTGGTGATAAGGGTGAAAGTGTTCAGGCAATTCCAAGAAAGTTAAAAAAAAGAGAGAGAGAGAGACAGAGTTAGTGCTGCAGGACGGAGGTATCCCCTCTACATGTGACAGCAGGACGCTCCTCACCCATCATTCATATCCCCCAACACACACACCTTTCTGGGGTCCCCTTCCTCATCATTCTGCACCAGCTGTGCCCATTGGAAATCCTGCCTGGATTTGTAAGAGTCACAACTCTGGCTTGGAACTTACAACTCTGCTTCATCGACTGTCAGGGAGGGAAAGTTTAAAACAAGAGTGAGTCTTCTATTTCCAGTCCCGAGCATAGTGCCTGGTTCCATTCGTGTCTGATGAATAGATAGAGGGATGAGAAAATGCATCTCATCACACTTAGGGTCCTGCTGGAACTCTAGATGGGGCTCCCTTGGAGCCACACCAGTAGTCTTGTCATCCTTCACAAACATCCCTGCTAGACCCCTAGCATCTCCTGTATTGAGCTCTGTAACCCCCAGAACCTAGAACACCACTTAGCACAGAGGAGGTACTCAACTGGCATCTTTTGAATGGCTGAATGAGCAAGTAAATGAATAAGGAAATAAAAGAAATGAGTAATTGCTTCAATTTATAACCCCAGCTGAGGGAACGTACATCCTAAAATGTGTTTTTATAATTTCCAGCCGAATGACACCTTCCCAAGGAGACTGGACTTGAGAGATACAGCCCATCCACCTGTGCCTAGGCTATCTGGGATGGCTGTGGAATAACAGGCTCTAACACAGTGGTCTGCAGACATAAAAGGGGGTCCATGTGGTCGTGACACTACACACAGGAGTTGCAATCTTAGATATCAGTGTTCTGCTTGTGTTCCCTGTGGGAAAAACTGTCCATACAGTATCAACAACCTCAACAATTCTTGAACATGGCACTATCACTACACCTGCAAGATCCTCGTGGGTCAGGCTGTGTGTACATGGGAGCAAGAGGGGCGACTGAGTCCCTCGACCTGGGAACTGTCAGTAGACTCGAGGATTTTATATATAAGCCTGTAGGGCTAGTGACTGTGTACTTTCCAAAAGGCTCCTGTCCTTTCAGGGGCTGGAATAAAATTATGAATTAGGCAAACATTTATTCTTTTGTTCCCAAGGTTGATTATTGTCATATTCTCTGATACCTGAAAGCAAATGATGAGATCTATTAAATAAATAAGCCATAAGGATTAGAACAGTGGCTCTAATTGGTACTTGAGAAAAATAGACCCCATTAAAAAAAAAGTGTACAAAATGCAGAGTGAGTAACTGTGGGGACTGTCTTGTGCCTGGGACAATGGCAGCATGTGGTCAACTGCTTCATCCGTGCATCCCATGCCTGCAGCTCTGAGCGGACTGTACCGGCTCCACGTGAGGCAGACGGATGGGCCAAGCACACTTGTTTATGGGTGGAGTGGTGGAAATGGAGTAATTCCATGTACACAGCGACCACCAAATATGAACAGTTTCACATCCTCATGGAATGTTCTGCGCATTTCGATTTGCGTAAATGATCTTACCAGTCTCATATTACTCATTTAGGACAAGGTGCCCAGAATGTGTGCGTACTCTGCCAGCGGTGGCAGTGATAGTGACAGTGACCCGGACTATGGAAGTAATGGTTTTGGAGCTGGAAGGGGCAAGTTAGTGAAAGCAAGGAAGAGCGCCACCCCAGGTAACGCCCGGCGGGCACCCCGCACATCCGGGGCTCCCCTCTCTCTGGGGCAGCCCCCATCATGCCTTTCACTGTGCTCTGCCTCTACTCCTCCTTTGATTTTACACTGTAGCTCCACATCTCTCCTGGGATCTAATTTTCTGGTACGTCCAGGAGATAGTCTACGTGCATCAATTTGTTTTCTGGTATCATCTGAATGACACTGCAGTACAGTCTGTAAGGACTTTATTTCCAAATCTGGCATCTCCCAAAAAGTCTCCAATTGAGTTATCTCCACAACGAAGCAATGACTATAAAGATAAGTTTGTTCTTAATTACATACTTTGGCAAGCTGAATCATCAGTGAGCCGTGGATGGGGTGTTCCAGGCTCTCCCACTAATACCATGCTGTGTAACTCTGGACCTGTTAGCCATGCCGTTACGAACACGTCTGTTTACAAGGCTGAAACTCCCTCGTGTTATTTTTATTTCAATCCAAATTGGCAGTCGAAAACCCACTATCCCGAGGCATTAAAAACATTCAGATGGCATTTCCTTACAGATACAAGGGGACAGATGATCCCTTAACCTAAACTGTGATCTGGGATCTGCTTCTAATCCACTCCAGATTGCCAGAAATATTTTAATGATACAATGGATAATCATTTTTTTCGTACTAATGAACTCTTCTTAGATACTAATTTAGCAATTGTCTGATGAAACCGTGACTTTTTAAAAAACAAGACTGATACGTTGCTTTTGAAAAAAAAAACGTAATCTAGCAACCATGTGTATCTTTGATTTTCCAAGAGTCTTGGCACTTGTGACACATGGGGGTAAGATTGTCCTGTAAGAATCATCAGTAAGCTGAGCCTCCTCTTTGTTCCTTGCAGCCCTACAAGTCACCAGAGAAGCAGGACCAATGGTTGGATCCTGCAAAGTCTTGCCAGAGGAGAGTGGCCAATACCCCTGGCACAGTTAGGCTGCTGTTCCTGTTAGCTCTCGGTGGTCTGTCGTTGTCCCACACGTGGCACAGAGACACTTGAAATGTGGCTAGTGTGAGTAGGGAACTGAATTTTTAAATTTAATTTTTGCTGTAGTTTTCCTAAGAGTTCTCACTTGGGCCCTTCCACTTTTCTCTATTTTAACTTATTTTTATTTTAATGAACTTTTAGTATTAATAGCCACATTTGGATCATTGTGCAGCACAGGGGGTGAGAATGGTTCATGCCAGTTCTAATTAAAAATACAACACGATTCACTGATAGATTGGAGGTGGGGTGAAAGAAAAAGCAGAGTCAAGGTTGGCTCTCAGGTTTGGGTCCTGGAAGGGGTAACATTCTGCTTGCTAAAACAGAGAAGGCTGAGGACGGGGCTTCAGGAAGCAGACCGGTAGTTGATGCTAAGTTCAAGGTGCCTCTGAGCAAGTGGAGGTGTTGAGTGTGTGGTGGGCTGTGTGAGTCTGAAGTTGGGCAGGTCAGGTCTGGTCTGGAGACGGACGTAATCAGAGTGGCAGCGTGTTGATGGCATCTAAGACCCTGGGTCTAGGTGAAATCAGGAAGGAGACAGAGTGCTGAGGCTCCCTGTTCAGACCTGTCTCTCACTCTGGCAGTGGGGCTCCAGGGGTGGAGGAAGGAAATGGGGAGCAGGGAGGAGGGGTGGTCTAAAGGCAATGTGAAAACTACTTGAAAAAGGAAACAAGGATTAAGACAAATTACCTGACTCTCAATGAGGGAGTTCCTGAGTAGGAGAGAAAAATCACTTTAGGGTTCAGATTTCTCACAGAGCTTGTAAGTGAGTTGTGCGAGAGCAGTAAGGAATAAACATCAGGTGATGGCTCTGCACCCTGGTGAACAGGGAACT